ATTTTACTCATTGGTGTACAGATCCATTTTTATTAAGTGTGGGCATTTTCATATATGCATTTCAGATTCTGAAAATGTAGTCAATTGTAGGCATTCTGATCTGCTATGCATTACCACGAATTGCGAAGTTTTTTCAGATCTTTCTAGCAATTTTATTTTATTTATTTGTTTGGACGGGTTGGGATTTTGGGAGTGGAACTGCCACTTTTCATTTTCTCAATCAGGGGTTCACTGTTGACCATGAAAATAACAAGGTGCCTCTTTCAGTGTACTTTTTGGTTGTGACCATATCTCATGTTGTATTATTTCTGCGTTGCCATTTGGATTTTTTCAGGAGGCCCTGGATCTAGTGGAAGCGGGAAGAAGAAAATCCTGCTTCTGAAAGGAAAAGAAAAGGAAATTCCCAGTGTAAGTCCTCTAATATTTTTCTTTAATAAGAGTGGGCCTAAGATTAATGATAGTGCATCAGTGAGCCGGCATTCAGAACTTTTTAGCAGTTATTTTTCCATGTCGCTGTGGGACATTTATGAACAGAATGCTAAACAAATTTCAGTGTATTGAAAATGATACAATAGAGTTCCTAATCTTGATTATTCAGTTTTTCAAATTCCTAATTTTTGAAGCTGTACAGTAATCAGATATGAGATTTTGGTTCATTTGCATTAGTCCCATTTAAATCTATTACTGTCCTTCAATATGACTTTTAAAATTACAGTGAAAGAGAAAAGACTGTTTTATTTATTTGTAGATACCCGATGGTTCATCAACCCAGCAGAATGTTGCAAGTCCTGCCAAACCTTCTCACAGTTCTGGTCCTCTGAGACAGAACCAACGGCGTGAAGCTAGTGGAAGGATTATCAGGAATATCCTTGTGAACACTCGGCAACCATCATCAGGTTCTCAAATTTCTAATCAGGAAAGGGACAGAAAACCTCCTAGACATCCTAGTCTGCAGTCATCCCAGACAGATACAAACGGTATTCCTGATGATAACAAGGTAATCTCCAAAAATTTGAATGCCACACCTTCAGATAAGCAGGAAAGGCGCACAAGGAACAGAGACAGGCCCGATCGTGGTGTTTGGGCTCCTCTTAGGCATTCTGATGGATCACATGCAAGTGATGAGTCGTTGTCATCTGCTTCCCAGACATCTCAAGTGGTGGATTCTGCAGAAGGTGTAGATATGGGAATCTTTTCTTTAAATAGTTACTGTAATTTGGAATTATTATTATGCTCTAGGTGTTTGGTGTCTCTGTTATCAAGTCTTGTGGTTATATAATTAAGTTTTCGTTTCAGGAACTAATGTAGAAGCAAAACATGACATGATGGTTAACCGTGGGGGTCGTGGAAGTCATTACTCTGCTGAGAATGGTTGGTAATTTTGGATTTAGAGGTGACTATAATTAATTGACTTTGTAATTTTGTACTGATGGTTTCGTGAAATTCTATAGGTTCTCATAGACAAGGGGGTCGCCGTGGCTCGGGTTATAATTTGAAGGATTCAGATGGCCCTTCCATTGTAGAGGGAAAACCTTCGAAAAAAGGAGGTTTTTCTGGTTATGGTTCGCATGAGGTATCTTACATAATTTGAACCTACATTTCAAACAAACATTTTTTTACCCTATTTGTTGTGTCTTGGCTAATTCTTCTGTGTCAAAAAATCAGAAACAAGTGTGGGTCCAAAAGTCCAGCTCGGGTACATAGTTGTGTTGCATTTTGGTAAGATTCATTCTGTTGATATTTTCTACTTTTTTCTTTTCTTGGGAGCTACCGTCTAGGTGAGTATATAGCCATTATAATGTCTACTCTGATATCAGATATTTAGTTTAATGTCCTGCACTCTTATATGATTGCTTCTGAAATTCTTATATGATCGCCTCTGAAGTATACAGGGATTGTTAGTCTTGATGTATACACGCACTTGCAAGACTGTTGGGACCTAGTCTGTATAGAAAATCATGATCTATTTCTTATCAAGTTTTGCATCATGAAGTTATTGTTTTGCTGGTTGGGTTCAATCCCCGCATCATTGCAAGAATTGGGGTTATTATTCTTTTTATAGCGCAAATGTGATATTCATTCAAGTTTTCAATGATTATGACTACTATCGTGTTTAAGTTATGGTATCATTGGTTTGTTGCAGTGAAATGTATTGGTCCAGTTACACATATGGAGCATAAATCTGGAGTTCTCTATATCCAGATAGGATACATCCTGCCTGAGCAGGGTTTATGAGAAGAGAAAACGCTTTTTGCTTGCTTGGAAGACTGTCGAGGCTCTTCAGTGGTGCCTGAGTTCCACCAATAGTTGGTGTATTTTAGTGATTGGTGAATGAAGAAAAAATTACGATCCTAAGCTGGAGAATGGTCAGGAGCAATAGCAAGATAATGAAAAAGGTGAATATAAGTGTCGAATTTACACCACACCATTCAACCAATGGTGTCCCGATGATAGGGTTAATACTATTTGACCAAAGGGCTATCGACTGGCTATCGAGATTAGCTTAGGTCGGATTACTTCCTTTTAGTTGACTATAAATACAAATTCTAGGATGGTATGTGCTGTGCTGCTACTTTTAGTGAACTGTATAATTTACTTTGTGAGCTATGATGTGTGTGTGGTGTCTGGGTAATATAACTGTAACAGGGTTTGTTTTGATGAGTGGCAAGAAGCTAATGCCACCTTGTGTGGTTTTTTGGTTGTGTGATACTGATTTGTGTGCTGTTATGTTTTTACCTCAAAGGGTTGATTTAAACGTGATTGTTCTTTCATTGGAAATTGCTACTGCTTGCTAGTTTTTTTTTTTTT